AATGTTTTGTCTAATCACTTTATTATTCCTGTATTCTGTACTATTACTTATAAAGCCAACTGCTATCGGCCTTTTTTTATGGTCTCACCCAACTTCACACGTACTTTCATGGAATTACAATTAGAGTCTCTAAGTCCGCGCACTGCCTTCAGTAGCTTTTTATTGAATATGAACTCCTGTTCTAGTTCTTGCAAGAGGTAATGCACTCTGATATCAATTTCTTTCATGTGCTGGCAGCAAAGGTGTCAGTTGGAAGATACATCAATGTCACTCTCTTTTCAGTGACACATGTTACTTCATTACTTTTTCAGCACAGTGGTACCATACATGGATTTATTGGACTAATGATGAGAACAGATGAAATTGTCATATTTAGATTTTGCAAACCCTTAGCCTTGCAGCTGTTACAAACATCTTGTAAAGAATCTACGGAAGCACTTGTAGCTGCCATTCCAAACCTCCTTCTGAAGCTTGCTACTGCAGGCACCTCATGTACTGTCACAATTTCCAAAGTTAATACCCAAAAGTTCAAACACTTCTTCACTACAAAAGTCAAGGCCATCTATTTAGCTCCCTCTTCCAGTTCCATCCCTTCTCCTAGCTTAACGACAAAACTTTCTCTAATGTTTCCTGCTGTGCCAAACTTGAATTTTTCTCTAGGTCTCTCCTAACTCCTCTCATACCTTCAGAGAGCTCACCTTTTCAATGAGACCCATTTCATGCTCTCTGGATCTTATCCCATCATATTGCTGATCACCGTTGTCTTCCTTGTTTTTGTATGAACTGATATTAATGGTTCTCTCCAGATACTGTCTCACTGTTGTCAAATCCTTCATCAAAAAAAAATTGGCCCCACCATTTTTGCTAATCACCACCCCACTTCCAAACTCCCTTTTCTTTCCTAGGTTCTTAAATATGCTATCCCCTCCCAAAGGCACACTCATATTTTCTGCAATTCAATGTCTTGAATTCTCCCAATCAGGGTTCCATTAGCTCAATACGGAAACAGCTCTTATCAAAGTAACAAATGAAATTCTGTAGCTGTGTCAAAAGTAAACTAATCTTCTCATCCTGCACAACCTGTCAGGAGGCTTTAACTTGGTTGATTGTACTATCCTCTGACCATGTTCCTCCACTATTGCCAAGGTCAATGGAGCTGCCGTCACCTGGTTCCATTCTTATCTATCTAATCATAGTTAATATGTCATATGCAATAAATTCTTTTCCAGCTTTGCAGACATTATATCAGAATGTAACTGTTTCTCTCTCCACAGATACTGCCAGGCCTGCTGGGTTTCACTAGCATTTTCCATTATTTCTGATTTCTCCCAAGGAATTCTCCTTGGCTTCACTGTATTTCTCATCTACATATTATCCCATCAGTGACATTATTCAAAAGGATGAATATTAATTTATACATGGGAGTGTGTCAAAACCCTCTCTACCTCACCACCACCACTTCTCAAACCTTCATGATTATTAAAATGGTGGACTTCTTATCCCACATCTAATACTTGATGAGCAGAAATTTCTGATAATTAAACAATAGTAAAACGTAAGCCATTGGCATTGAACCCTTAAAGAAACTCCCTAGTTACTGACTTCATCCCTTTCCTTAATAACTGTTTGAGGCTAAAGCAGACGGTCCATAATCTTGGTGTCATATCTGACTCTAAGATGAGCTTCTAACCACATATACACTTCATCATCTCTTCTGCCTCTGTAAAATTTCCTGACTTCAGCACTACCTAAGCTTACATGATGCTGAAGCCCACATTCAAGTTATTTTTGTTACTTATAGACTTGATTATTCCAATGCACTCATGGTAGCTCTTCCACTATCTCCCTTTTGTAAGCTTGAGATCACTGGAAACTCTGCTGTCCTGCCTTCACTCTATTAAATTTTATTCCCTTGTCATTCCCTGCGCTTGTGTTTTTTCAGAGTAAAGCTGCCTCTAATCTTTTAAACTGAAAGTAAATTGAAAGTAAAGCTACTTCGATACTGTCCCTAGGACAGGTACAGCATGGGGTCAGACAAAGATCCCTCTCCTCTTTTAAGCTGAAAATAAACTGCAAGCAAAGCTTCCTCTACAATTTAAAATTGAACATAGAGCTCCCTGGATGCCGACCCATCAAACAATCCCAGGATAGGTGCAGCATGGGGTCAGATATAGTGTAAAGATCCCTCTGAGATATTCTGATGGAGGGTCACTGGATCCGAAATGTTAACTCTGATTTCCCTCCAAAGATGCTGCTAGACCTGATTAGCTTTTCCAATAATTTCTGCTTTTGTTTCTGATTTCCAATATTTGCAGTTCTTTTGTTTCTAGGTTCTCTCTACTCTTTTAAACCAAACACAAAGCTCCCTGGATGTTGTCCCATCAAACATTTCCCGGACAGGGGCAGCATGGGGTTAGATACAGAGTAAAGCTTCCTCTACACTGTCTCCATCAAATACTCCCAGGACAGATACAGCACACAGGGTTAGATACAGACTAAAGTTAGCTCTACACTGTCTCCATTAAACACTCCCACAGCAGGAGCAGCCATTAAACACTCCCAGAGCAGGAGCAGCATGGGGTTAGATGCAGACCAAAGTGAACTTTTTTTTTTCTGAAGAAGGGTCTAGACCCGAAACATCAGCTCTCCTGCTCCTCTGATGCTGCTTGGCCTGCTGTGTTCATCCAGCTCTACACCTTGTTATCCCAAAGTGAACCTTACTTTTTTAAACTGAAAGTAATGCTCTTTATATGCTGTCCCCATCAAACACTCATAGGACAGGTACAACATGGGGTTAGATACAGAATAAAACTCCCTCTGCACTGTTCCCATCAAACAATCCCAGACAGGGGCAGCATGGAGTTGGAGTAAATGTCCATCTACTATCTTAAACTGAAAGTAAACAGAAAATAAAGCACTCTCTACACTATCCCTAGGAACAGACACAGCACAGGGGCAGATACAAAATAGAAATCCTTCTATACCGTCCCCATCACTCACTTCCAGGACAGGTACAGCACAGGGTTAGATATAGAGTAAAGTTGCCACTACACTAGCCCCATTAAACATTCTCAGGACGGTACAGCATGAGGATAGATACAGAGTAAAGCTTCTTCTACTCTTTTAAATTGAAAGTAAAGCTCGCGCTATGCTGTCCCCATGAAACACTCCCAGGACAGAACAGCGCAGGGTCAGATACAGAATAAAGATCCTTCTATGTTGTCCTGATCACTCACTCCCAAGACATGTATAGCATAGGATTAGATATAAAGTTGCCATTACACTGTCCCCATTAAATACTCCCAGGATGTTATAGCATGAGGGTAGATGCAAAGTAAAGCTACCTCTACTCTTTTAAACTGAAAATAAAGCTCACGCAGGGCTGTCCCTGTCAAACACTCCCAGGACAGTACAGCCTGTAGTTTGATAAACAGTAAGTCCCTTCCACTCCTTTAAACTGAAAGTATCCTCTGCTTTTAAACTGAAAATAAAGCTTGCAGTACACTGTTCCAATCAAATACACTCTGGGCAGGGGCAGCATGGAGTTAGATGAAGCCCCATCTACTCATTTAAACTGAAATTAAACCTCCCTCAACACTGTCCCCATCAAATACTCCCAATTCAGGGAGAGCATAGGGTTAGATAATGTTGAGTTCACTCTACCCTGTGCTTGTTTACTATGTTAAATCCCAGAAAAGCATCAACTTGGTTTTAAAACTCTTATCCTTGCTTTCAAACCATGACCTCATGTTTCCTTACTTCTGTAATATGCCCTAGTCCCACATTGGATATTTACACTTATCTAATTCTGGCTTCTTGAGCATCCCAACTTTAATTATTTTACCAGTGGGGCCTATGCTTTCAGCTGCATGGGCTGAAACTCTGGAATTGTCTCTGTTCATCTCTTCAACTCCCTATCTCTCACTCTTTTAATACTTTCTTTAAAACCAGAACATTTTTGTGATGTATTTCATAAGTATAGTAAAATGTGATGCAATGGAGAATATGATACTGCAATGGCATATTTTAGATACTTCAGGGCATATAATATATGTTGATTACAAGAAGGTTAAGCATCAGTGAAAGGTTTGTTTACAAAGTAGTTTGAGTAGAATGATAGTTATTGGTGGTGGTTAAAGTATATGCTTTATTTAAACACCTAAGAGTAGATGTAGACCATTCATCCCAAGTCTGCTGTGGAAGTCATTACAATCATAGCCAATCTTCAACTTTACTCCCTTGTCACTCCCAATATCAGACAATTCTCTGAGACATCAAAAATCCATGAATCTCAGTCACGAATTTCATTCAATTATGGAGTATCGACAATCCTCTGGGATGATCATTTCCAAATATGCACAACTGAGTGAATAAATATCTCCTCTTCACAGTCCTAAATGATTGATCCCATACCTTCAGGTTTTGTCCCAGTGTTGTAGGTTCCCCAATCAGGACAAAAATATGGCCAACACGTCTTAATTACAAATGTTTCAATGAGATCACCTACCATCCTTCTAAACAATGAGATTTGTCCCTTTTTAATTATTCTTGTAAAACTCCGCTATTGTTTCCTGCCTGTACGGATTTGCTCTATCTACATTCTAATCTCTTCTTCCGGCTCATATAGTACTTGAATCCAGTAAGCTTGGTATTTGCTAACTTCCGTTTTCCTTCTCCCTCAACGTTTTATTGTTCTCTAAAACTTAATCCGGTATTGTGAGAACACTGAAGTGCAAAATGAGGATGTTTTGCCTAATGGTAGAGGGTTTTTGACGGTTTAAGTTTATTCGCTTAACTGATCTACTTTGAACAGAAACTCTAAATAAGTTATGCTTTCTTTAAAAAATGACCAGAGCACACATTCCGAATTCTAAAGCGTTTCAAATGATAATGTATATTTTATGTCTTATGCCCTTTGGTAATGATACCTATAGTGTACTTGCGAGCAGGAGCTATCCGGAAAGCTCGGTATTTTTAAACGTCCGGACCGTTAGGTGGGAAGCTCGCGCTTCCTTCCTGCATTGTGACGCGCACAGAGGAGGAAGAGCCACTCGTGGGCTCGCGCTTCCTCGCTACATTGTGACGCGAGGAGTGCGCCGGAGAAGAACGCGGAAGAGGCGATGATAATGATCGGAGGGTGAGACTGCTCACAGTTTGACTGTTCTCTACCTGCGCGCAGACCGGCATCATGTGGCTCGTCGTGGCTCTCCTGTTGGTGTTGCCGTTCACCCTTTTTGACTTCTGGTACTTTTTGCGTGGAGCCCTGGTATTGCTGCTTGCTTCATTCGAAACCCCGGTGAAGGATATCCTGAAGGAGCAGACGGTCCGCGGTAAGGAAAGCCGTATCTGATGTGCCGGCTCATTACACACAGGGTTGGGGGGGTGGCGGAAGTTCGAGCTCAGCCTCGCCATCATTGATTTCCAGCTGCGAAGCCGCTGTCACAGTCGGACAACTTGTCTGGACAGCTCCTGACAGCAGCGGGAGGTGGTTACCTGTAGGTGTGACCCGATGAGTCAAGAGAGTTGCTACTTTCCGACCTGCAGTGTTCCTTGTCTGGCCAGTCTGACCGAAGCCAGTGAACTAATTCTTTTTCATGGAATGAGCTGGTGGTCTGTCTGAGCCTAGTCAAAGGGGAGCAGCAATGATGGTCTTGACAACCACAATATCATACGGCAGAAACCGGCCTATCTTTGGCTGTTGGAGCTGGACGCACGTTCTCTAAGAGGAAATCAATTGGCCGGTAAAGAGGACAGAACCATTGGAATTTGTGGAGAACAGAATAAAATCAAATTTCGGGTACAATGAGGTCATTCGGCCAGTCGGCCAGTCATGTCTCCGCCTCAGGATCTCGACTTGTCACATCCCTGGCTTTTCCTGAAACGCTGAGTCATAGAGATTTGCAGCACAAAAAGAGCCCGATCAGCCCATTGTGTGCGCACCAGGCATCAATCACTTCTCTATTCTAGGCCCGTCTTCTAGCCCTTGGCCTATAGCCCTTTGTGCTATGATATTTCAAGTGATCATCTAAATACTTCTTAAATGTTGTAATGGTTCCTGCCTCTACCACCTCTCAGACACTGAGATCCAGATACCCACCATCCTCATGGTGAGAAAATAGTTCCTTAAATTCCCTCTAAACCACCTACCCTTTAATTTAAACCAATGACCCCCTGTTTCTTTATCCTTCTACTAAGGGGAAAACCTTGTTCCAATCTATGCTCAGCAGAATTTTGTACATCTCAATCAGATCTCTGCTCTAAGGAAAACAACTCGGACTATTTAATCTTTCTTTGTCGCTAAAATGCTCCAGCCCTCCCTTGTCCAAACATACTCTTCTGTTTCTGATTTCCAGAATCCACAATTCTTTGGATTTGCATATTCTTCTGCAATGTGACGATTAGAACTGCACACAGTACTTCAGTGTGGTCCAACTAATGCCTGCACAGCTCATTATAACCCCTCTCTTATTCAATGCCTTCACTAATAAAGGCAAAAAACCCATATGCCTGCTTAACCACTTTATCCACCTGTCCTATTGCTTTCAAGGATCTGTTTGCATGCACACCAAGGTCCATCTGGTCCTCTGTAGTTCTTAATGTCCTACTATTTATCATGTAATCCTTGCTTTGTTAGTCCTCACAAAGTACATCACCTTTTCAGGATTAAGATCTATTTGCCATTGTTCAGCCCCTCTATAACATCCTGTATTCTAAGGCTATCTTCCTCACTATTCCATAGCACTCATTTTATATCTTCTACATTCATTGCCTAAATGTACATTAATATACATCATGTAGTGTAATACCACTACAAATTGCAAAGGACCCAGCACTGCATGCTGTGATATGCCACTGGTCTCAGGCTTCCAGATAGAAGTACCACCTTAAACCGTCAGCATATTCCACATCCCAACCACCCACTATGTTTAAAAAAAAGTTTTCTAATGACACTGTTGCTTCTTTTAAACCAGTCATTTGTATTTGGACCAAATTGTTAAAGGGTACTAAAATTTTTTTTAAAAGCTGCAGATGCTAAAAAGGGTCAGTGGACCTGAAGTATAAGCTCTGCTTTTTCTCCACAGATGCTGCCAGTTTCTCCAGCAACTTCTGTTTTTATTGAAAAGGGGACTGTTACTTTGTTTCAACTGTATCCAAACTGTCTCCAAAGAGAGTTCCAAACTGCTACCACCCTTTGTAAATAGAAGTGATTCCTGGCATCTCTCCCGAACAGTCTGGCCCTAGTGTTTAGCCTATGTCCTACAGTTTTAGAATCCCAAGTAGTGAAATAGTCTATCTACTTTGTCCTTTCCTGTCAATTATCTTGAAGACTTCAATCATATCACCTTTTAGCCTTCTAGAAAATCTAGGGAAAACAGGTGTAAATTGCATAATCTCTCCTCCTAATCCCTGAAGTCCAGATATCATTCCCTCCAAGACCAATATATCCTTTCTAAGGTGTACTGCCCAGATCTTATCATAGTACACCAAGTGGGGTCTAACCAGGGTTTTGTAGATAGTACATACTGCTGCTCCTGAATGTCAGTGAAGGGGGAATTTGATGTTGGTGAATGTGATGCGAATCAAGCAGACTGCTTTAGCTTTGTGCCTCGCTCATTTGGAGAAAATGCATACCGGACGATAGACTCTGGGCTTCTTTTACCTTCTCCATATCCTGACAGGACCTTGAACGGCAATTTCTTCATGTGGAGGTTGTTTGGCGGTCGTTGGACGTTGCTGCTGGTTCTGGAGTTGTGGATGAATTTATTTCTTCCTTGGTTTCTCTGTGCCTTTGCACTACGGTCGCAGTGATAATGACCCCTGCTTTCAGTGATCATACTTCTGATGAAGTTGGTTGGCAAAAATTAGAAACAAAACCAGGGGCATAGTAATATGAACAATAGTATTCACACCACACACGAATGACATGGTTTAGCATGGATCCTAATACAATGAGACATGGACGGTGATGCAGTACCTGTCACCTTTTGACTTGGTGGCCATATTCAGGTGTATGTAGCATAGGCCGGGGCCCACACATGTGGTAGGCTGCTGAACCTTGCACCGCATCCCCCTGCTCCAAGTGGCCCAAGAAAGGCAGCATTGCATAAAAGAGCAATTTGGCAAATACTTACTGTTTTTAAGGTGAGGGGAAATCAACTTTGATCAGCCTATGCGACCTTGGATTTTCTTTGTGAATGGCAGCTTGCAAATGACATTTTAAAAGGTTGTGATTAAATCTGCTTCACACAGATGACTATGATCAATTTGTAAGACCAAGAATGTGGTCGAGATTGCTTATGGCCAAAACATGTTTATCCCACCGGTATTTATTTTTAAATCAACCTGTCCAGGGATGTTATTACATACCTCTGGAGCAGGTGGGACTCGAACACTGGCCTCCTAGCTCAGAGATAGGACACTAGAGTCTGATTGTATCACAGATAGGTCATTGCATGCATTTCACATGCAGGATTTTACAATTAAAGGTATTTTTAACCTCTGTTGTGTAAGTGCCTGATTAATAAAATTGCCCCTTGAAGTGCCTAGGAAGTAGTGCCTATGTTTCCAGAAAGAAAAAATAATCTAGCTCTGACCATTTCAGATGTGATGGCAGTGATTTTTTTTCATCTCTATTGCACATTTGTGATTTGAATGGGGATGAAAGGCAACACAGGTTGCACTTCTCAGAATGAGTTGCAGGCTGAGCCTGGTAATCTAGTGACCCCAAACTTTCACTTAATTTCTTGCTTGGACTCCCTATTGATCCCATCAGTCCTTAGCTTCCACAAGTTCCCACTCGACTCTCATTCATTGCTTCTTCTCCCAGCATTATCCCCACATCCTGGGCCTATACTGTACCACACAGACCATTGTGCTGCACTGTCCCTTCTGTTGAACCCAGGGTGGTGGTAACCGTCATGGAACTTCCCTTCCTCGGTAACCCATATCCTCTAATGCATCTTTGATTCCCACCCTTGTATGTTGAGTTGCCCTGTTACAATTATTTTCCCTTCTGCAACCGAGAATGCTGCCTGCAATCCCTACAATTGAGTTCCCCAACTTCTCTACCTTTCCAGTTGCCCCAATTTACCCCTTGATTTTCCTGAACAGACCCCCAGAGCTGACTGTGGCACACCCCCAACCAACTTTCCATAAGACATAGGAGCAGAAATTAGGCCATTTGGCCCATTGAATCTGCTCCATCATTCAATCATGGCTGATAAGTTCCTCCACCTCATTCTCCCGCTTTCTCCCTGTAACCCTTGATCCCCTTGATAATCAAGAACCTATCTATCTCAGTCTTAAATGTACTCAATGACTTGGCCTCCACAGCCTTCTGTGGCAGCGAATTCCATAGATTCACCACTCTCTGGCTGAAGTAGTTTCTCATTATCTCCATTCTAAAAGGTCTTCCCTTTACTCTAAGGCTGTGCCCTCGAGTCCTAGTTTCTCCTACTAATGGAAGCATCTTCCCAACATCCACTCTGTCCAGGCCATTCAGTATTCTGTAAGTTTCAATTAGATCTCCCTTCTAAACTCCAATGAGTATAGTCCCTTAGACTTCGAGACATTTTCATTTGGTTGAAACACGTACAATGTGTTTATCGTGTAAGTTGCTGGCTCGTGCTGTAGTTGTGACATTGACGTAATACAGTGAAATACACCAATATGTCCACCCTCTTAACTAATCACTGCTAACAACCAGGACAAGCTGCCTGTCTTTGTGATTGTGCTAAAAGCAAGACAAGACAGAAGTATGAGCCACAAGTTCTGAATGAGAAGGCAAAGTGCATAAAGGCAAGGCACAGATACTGTAAGCATCCAAGTAGGCGTGAGGTGAGTAAGTGCTAAGAAAACAAGTGACAGTCTATGAGATGACATGATTACTTGTCTCTGTGCGCAGAGAGGCCAGGCAGCAGCATGAAAGCAGCATTGAAATGATAACTGTTTCTAAACGAGTCTGTGATATGCCATAATAATATGGTATAGCTGGTACTTGATTTATATCAACTTACGCTGAGGGTGGGATTGAGTGCAGGCGGTCACTGCTGATGGAATATACCCTGAGATGTTGTGGACTGCTCGTCAAGATGAGGCCCCGAGGAGTAAGTGGTGAGCTGCAACTGCCATCTGCTCGCTCTGATCTCTGTTTAGGGATTGTACTATTTTGTTTCCACTGCATGAGAGAATAAGTAACTGTGTATAAATGATGTGAGAACAAGTCAGAATAAGATGCAAATACTTGGAAATAGGTCTGTTGCCACTCCCTGGTGAGATTCTTGCCTTGCCATTCAACACTTGGGCGGAAAATCATAATTTATTTTCCTCGATGTTACGAACCTCATTTTTATGATCTCTCCATGTTTTCTGAATTGACTTGTCCATGTCATTCAGCGAGTGGGAAAATTCAGACCATGGAATCACTGTGAACAACTTCTCAGAAACCTCTGGAATGTACTTTGGGTGGATTTCAAAGATTACTGCCAATAATCCTGCCCTTATCCATAGAAAATGATACTGAAGTCCCCAGAGATTACAAACAGTAAGGAATCACAGAACTGACAAGAATGTCCATGCTCATAATATTAGTCTCATTGTAAAATCTCTTGAAATAAAACTGCGCTCATCGCCAGTTATAATCCCTCACCATTGGTAGCCATGTTTCTACTGCTCAGCTGTAACATCTGGAATACCCTCCATACACTTCCTTTTTTTCCTTTAAAGCACACCTTAAGACATAACTGTTTGAAGGAGTTTTCAGTCATTTGGTCTGATGTTTCCTTATCTGGCTCTGAGCCATATTTTGTTTTGTAATGTTCCGGTGAAGCATCAATGCTATATATATTTTTTAAAAAAAAGTTGTTGTTGTTGTTGAACAGACTATTGTCAGTTCAGCCATTTTTAAGAAAAAGAATATAGAACATAGAACAGTACAGCACAGTACAGGCCCTTCGGCCCACGATGTTGTGCCGAACTTTTACCCTAATCCTAAGGTCTGTGTAACCTCCACCCCTATCTTATACTATCATCCATATGCCTATCTAATAGCTGCTGAAATGCCCCTAATGAGGCCGACTCCACTACCCTCTCTGGCAATGCATTCCATGCCCCGACCACTCTCTCTGAGTAAAGAATCTACCTCTGATGTCTCCCCTATATATACCTCCACTCACTTTAAAACTATGCCCCCTCGTCATAGCTACCTCCACCCTAGGAAAAAGTCTCTGGCTGTCCACTCTATCTACCTCTGATCATTTTGTACACCTCTATCAAGTCACCTCTCATCCTTTGTCATTCTAAAGAGAAAAGCCCCAGCTCTCTCAACTTTTCCTCGTAAGACCTTCCCTCCATTCTAGACAACATCCTGGTGAATCTTCTCTGCATCTTTTCCAACGCTTCCACATCTTTCCTGTAATGAGGCAACCAGAACTGGACACAACACTCCAGATGTGGCCGAACCAGGCTTTTGTATAGCTGGAGCATAATTTCATGGCTCTTGAACTCAATCCCTCTATTAATGAGAGCTAATACACCATATGCCTTCTTAACAACTCTATCCACCTGGGAGGCAGCTTTCGGGGAACTGTGGACATGAACCCCAAGATCCCTCTGCTCCTCCACACTGCCAAGAATCTTTCTGTTAACCCTGTATTCTGCTTTCAAGTTTGTCCTTCCAAAATGAATCACCTCACACTTTTCAGGGTTAAACTCCATCTGCCACTTCTCAGCCCAGCTCTGCATCCTATCAATGTCCCTTTGTAACCTAGAACAGCCCTCCGCACTATCCACAACTTGACCCACCTTCTCATCGTCCGCGAACTTGCTAATCCACCCTTCCACTCCTTCATCCAAATCATTTACAAAAATCACAAACAGTAGAGGACCCAGGACAGATCCTTGTGGTACACCATTCGTAACTGAGCACCATGTTGAATATTTTCCATCCACTACCACCCTTTGTCTTCTAAGGGTCAGCCAATTCTGAATCCAATCTGCCACATTTCCCCCTTTCCCATGCCTCCTTACCTTCTGCATGAGCCTACCATGGGGAACCTTATCAAACGCCTTACTTAAATCCATGTATACCACATCCACTGCTCTACCTTCATCCACATGTTTGGTCACCTCTTCAAAAGAATAGAATTATTTAAACACATACTGCTGTAAATGACACTTTTCTGCTAATGAGAACAAAAAGGAATGGAAAAACTCAGCAGGTCAGGCAGCATCAGATGAAGTGAATGTTTCAGATCAATGAGCAGAACTCTTGCTAATTTTTTTTTGTCCAAGTAAATTGTCTATTGGGACAACTTTTATGTTAGTTTTATCCCAATTTATAAAAGCAGATTAAAAATGATATTTACCTTACAAAATACTTGAATGAGTTTAAACTTTCTAAACATTCATGCACCTATGCAGCAGTTGCAGTCTCCTCCATATAGCTTCTCACTTTCATCCTGAAAAATTGCCTATGCAGAGAAATTTCCTTTTGAATTTTAGGTAGATTTGGTGAAACATAATCACCTTATAAATAGGAAGGTTAATTAAAATTCTCAAAATATATGATAATGATGAATATCTGGATGACAAAGCAAGATCATAAGAATCTCTCACATAATGTTAAGGGGATGTTACAGTGGATCCTGTAATGTTCTGCTCACTGCACTTGATTCCAGTATAATAACAATGTTAAAAAGAATTTTGAGACCATTTGTTGTTTTTCGTCAATGTATTTTATTAAGTCTTTGGAACTGTAATTTTCATATATCTTACATAGGTTCATAATTTATTTGGGTTAAGACATCCTTTTCTAACAGCATTTTGATTACCTGTATTCTAGGTGTTGTGCTCTTCCAAGACATAGATTTTCTGGGCCACATGAATAATTCTCGATACTTGCGGGAGTGTGATTTTGCCAGGTATTTATCATTTTTGTTAAATAAAGTTGGATTGTCAGCATTTAAGATATTAGTAAGATCAAAATATATGTAAGTATTAGTGAACATGGAATAACCCTTTTTATTGTTGAATAACTGCAGATCAAAGTTGGGCAGTGTGTGCAAAATTCTGTTTCATGGGCGATATTTAGTTGGAATGACAGATCTGTAAGTAGAAAACAGTTTGCCATCAGTGATTAATAACATAACTCTTCTGCCGGGTGACAAGATCTTAATAAAATTAACTATTTCCTGAGAGTTGAGATTGGGTTCAGCCTGTACAATTGATACTTTTCTCTAACATTGCTTAATTTTTCATTCTGAGGAAAATAGCTTAAAAAGCGCATTGTAGAAACTTTGGCAGTTAATTATTGATGTGGATTAAATAAAAATCAAGTCGCTGTTTTAGCCATAAGGTTTATGTTAGCCAGAGGCTGCAGAGAGACGGACAGAAAGAAAGAAAGTTACAAGCTGCTGACATCGCTGCCTGGGGAGAGGTTAGCTAGAGGCTACAGACAGATAGAGGGGTACAAGCCACTGACATTGCTAACGGGAGGTACTGAATGCAAAGGTGCTGACACGAAGAAAGAAGCAGCTTGTGAACTATAAATGACCTGCACTGAGGTGCTAGGTTGAGCTGATTTAAACTGGTTTGAATTAACTAAGTTCTGTTAAACAAAGTGAGGTAATGCAAAAGCCTTATTTGGACAATAAATTATGAGGTAATGCTACCTAAGTCTCTGGGTGAGGGCCAATTAGGTAAAGGCTTACGATAAGTGAATTAGCCTGAGCCAACGGGAAGAAGATCGAATAAAAAGAAGACCCTCGGGGCATGCAATCAGCGAAAACTCCAGAGACGAATCATTGCAGAGGCAGACCCTATGTCAAGGGTGTGTTAACGACATCGAGTGCAGCATCAGCCCTCGTCAGCAGCAGCAGTTATCCTGATTGGGTATTAGCTTTTATATTCTGTGACTACTTGGGGAGTGTCAGAGGACTTTAGTAGTGTATAAGTACTCTTAGTTCTGTTTGTGGGAAAATATATAAGGTCCAGTTCTGTGATTTTAAAAACATTTTAAGCAACATGTCTTGTTTAATACACTAATAAAGTAATTTTGTGAGGTTACGAGAATTGATGCTTAGCCTGTCAGTACAAGCTGATAACTGGAGTTGGTGTTCTCCAGGTTCCCAACTACATATTATGGTGCCCGAGGGTAGATCTCTCTGTTGAGTCAGTGGGAGACTCGGGTTGCACCGAGCAGGGGCTTTGGGTTTGAGGGAAGACCTTGGGAGGCGTGAGCCGAACCAAATCGGCAGAGTGTAGATGGTTAATCCATAGCCACCAGTATACAAAGATGAAACAGGAAAGAATGGACTGCCCTGACTGAACGGGGCTCCTCCAGAAATACATAATAGGGAAGTGGCTGCAATAGGGGGAATATGGAGGTCACACTAGGGACAAGGGAAAGTCCTCTGGAGAAGCCCTTTGGCAGGTTGCCCAAACAAAGGTATCAGACAAGAATTTTAAAACAGTATAGAAGGCGGTAACAATTGGAGGTTTAATGGAAGAATGCATGGAATGCCGACAGCTAGCCAAGTTAGAAAGAGTAGAGGAAGAGAATAAGGGACTTTGTGAATACCAGCAGCAAGTCAAGTTAGAGAAGGTAGAGAGGGACAGACTAGAGGAAGAGAATAAGAGACTTGGTGAGGAGGTATCCCGCCTTAGTGAAAAGGTAACCGATCTGCAGGGACGGAGGAGTGCGAACTTGGTACATATGAATCAATACCAGATGTGGTGTGAGAAGCTGGTTAGGGAAAGGAATAAGAGAGGAAGAAGTCCAAACAGCTAAAGCTGAGGTGGAAGGATGGAAGCAAAAATGTAATGACTTAAAAACTGCAATGAATATGATTCAGAGAGCAGCTCAGGAGAAAAGGAGTAGTGCCGCTGATCACACAAAATGTCAGAAACAGATAGAAAGAGTGCAAGGTCATGTAGCCGTGCAGAGAGGCATAATATGCGCTTTTACACCTGAAATAGGTGAGGAAGGTGGTGAAGGGAACATAGATTGGGATCATTTAGCAGAAGAAGTGGCTAGGTATGGTCATGATGATGGGAATCCACCACCAGCTATGAGCCAGGGTCAGAGACCCCATCGGCTCCAATCCTAATGGCCCCCCTTGTAACCACTAGAGGAGGATTATGGTCAAATGGTAGAGGACAAGAGGGTAGTATATTTCACCCCATTTGGAGTATAGCAGTTGAGGGACATTGCAAAAGATATTGGAACATGCACGCCCGGGGATGATCCTAGTTTGCTGTTCCAAGCAGTCATTCACCAGAGCAAAATACGTGGTTTAGATGATGCTGAGAAAAGAAAATGAATAATTGTGTGCTTGCACCCACATATACACTCTGCCTTACCAGAAGAGCAGAAAGTTGGTAGAGGCACAACTGAGGCTTTAAAAGACCAGGTGTTAAATATCATATGCGCTAACGGCGCGGACCTAGTGGAGGCACTGATAAAGTGCTACCAAAGAAAAGGTGAACACCCCACCACATTTGCAGCATGCCTTTTGGGCGGTGTTTTGGGGGTATATGGTACAGCCTTGGACAGGAACAATCTGGAGGCAGAGGCTAGGAACCGATGGCTGAGAATGCTGTTGTGGCATGGCACTGAGGAGTCGAGGAGGGCATTAAAGCAGTTTGATCTCACTGATGACACGCACACAGAGGCCTGGGTAATAAGGAAGATGGTTAGGGCATGGGAAAAAGAAACAACAAAATTTTCCAAGACCTCTGGGGTACAAATGACGCCTGTTAAAGATCAGGCAATAATCTGGAGAAGTGAGGGGGGACATGTGAGCGTACCGTTGGAGGTCAGTATGGGAGACATTAAGTAGTCCTTACCAAACTACCTAGGGAACAAGAACATATCTTAGGGAGTGACTGTATGGTCAAAATGGGACTCTGTTTTGATCCCATTAATTGTATGATTTGCCAAATGCCTGAAGGTATGAGGAGTGAAAACTGCACATTTATCCTGGTTGGGGAATATCAAGACAGGATATGCACAGTTGGGGAAATGTGGGTAAAGCCAGGGGAGATGAGTGACGATCATGAAGTGCGGCACTCAGTAGTATTTGCCTGACATAAACACGACTGTGGGAAGATGGCTGGGAGTGCATGTATGCAGGGTCCAGACCCCAAACCACAGAAGCAATATGGTTTTCTGAAGCAGGCAGAGGAAGACATAGGGAAGGCAATGCAGAGTTTGCTGCAACAAGGGATCTTGAAACCAGTAGCTTCTGCTAACAATTCGCCCATTTGGCCGGTGAGGAAGCCGGACAGTAGCTGGCGACTAGTGATAGACTACAGAGCACTGAAAAAGGCCACCCCATTAACAGCCCCCACCATAGCAACTAGCCCAGAAACAGGAGTCAAGCAAAATGAGGATGTGCAATGGTTCATGATTTTGGACATAAGTAACAGGTTTTGGTCAATGCCACTGGAGAAAGATTACCAATATTAAATTCGCATTTACTTTCCGAGGCCAGAAATATACATGGACCGCCCTGCCACAGGGGTTTCCATATTTCACCAATATCTATGAGAAGGGTTAAAATGGTTCTCAAAACCTGAATGTCCGGTGCAGTATGTAGACAACTTGCTTCTACAAACTGAAACTAAAGAGGAACATTATCAGCTGCTAAGTGAACTGCTGCAGCTGTTGCATGAATTGGGTTTGTAAGTAAACCCTAAGAAAGCGCAGATAATGAAACAGAAAATGACTTTTATTTGGGAATGATTTTGTCACTGGGGAACAGAGAAATTGACAAACTAAGGGTAGAGGCGGTCTGCAGACTCCCTGTCCTGCGGGATGTGAAAGGGTTAAGATCCTTCCTGGGGTTACTGGAGTATTGCAGGGACCACGTTGACAGATTCACTACAAAAGTGGCTCCATTGATGGAGTTATTGAAAAAGAATGTGGCCTGGGAGTGGAAACCGGAACACAAACAGGCCATTGCAGCTCTGAAGCAAGCACCAGCTAACGCGCCTGCTCTGAAAACCCCAAATCCAAATGAACCATTTTCTTTGGAGGTTGCCACCACAGACACCACCCTCACGGCAGTTTTGTTACAGGAAATGCATGGGAAATTGAGATCAGTAGAAAAGCCTTGCACATGCTCTCACTAGCAGAATAGGGATACACAGTACGTGAGAAGCATCTGCTGGCTGTCTTCTGGGCAGTGCAGCATTTTACCTACATAGTGTGGCTGAGCCCACTTACAATACTATCAGAACATAACCCCCGTACAGTTACTATTAGACAGAAGGATTGAAGATGGTTCAGTTAGCCAAAATAGAATCGCTAGATGGAGAGTGTTGTTACAGGGAAGGGATATCACTATAAAAGGAATAAAAGCTACCACCACGTTAGCAGACAACTTAGTGTATCAGCAGAGAAACATGAATGTTAACTGATGATAGCAAATCAAGGGCCCATTTGTATCAAAACAAAAGGGAGGCAGTAGGATGGGGCCTGAAAGTAGGGAGGGTAAGGAAGAACCCCATTTCAAAATTTTTGCGGATGGTTCCTCATCCGTACGGGAAGGAGAAAGGAAAACTGGGCGTGGGATATACATGGAGGATGAGAATGGACAGGAAAGATATAGCGTGGCTCTGAAGTTACCCAGAACCATGAGTGTGCAGGCAGCAGAGTTAGCAGCCATTACATATGTGTTTGGCCACCCAGAACTCTTTCTGCCTGGATCAGTTATATACTCTGACAGCATGTAGATCTGTAATAGCGTTGCGGGATATTTGCCCCTATGGAAGGCGAGAGGATTTGTCTTGGCAGATGGAAAGCCCTTTCCATCCGCTTCACTGTTACAATACATCTTTGAAGAAGCACAAGAAAAAAGGATATGAGGTCACAAAGGTAAAAGCTCATTCAAAACTATCTTGGGGGGCGGGCAGGAAA